CAAAGTCACAGCGAACAATCAAAAAGTCTGACAACCAACTACAGCTAAAAGTATCATTTCCACTTCCTACACCGATCTCGTAATGAGACAAATCTGATATAAGAAGTTTGACCAAAGCCTTATAATCGAGTAAACACTTATCGTTCTCTTGTTTGAGCCCTTCGCTCTTTGGCCCAAGAACTGCATCCAAGTGTTTCTTCAAATAATCCATCTCATCTGGTGATACACTTAAATTAGATTGAAAAATAGATTCTTGGTATAAAACTAGATACTTTCTTAGATCGTTTGAAATCTTTGGATCAATTGGTATACATATTTGAATCTGAAAGAATGATGAAGGAACTGAAACAAGTTGGAATAGTGCAAAATCAAGATTCGTAGAGTATATCGAGAAATTCGTCTTCGACTCTCGCTGCCATTGAAGATCTTTCACTCCTGGAAATACTGAATAATCATCTGCAGCAAGATCAATCTTATTCTTTGCGACAGAGGAATCAAACTTTGAGTCCTTTTCGACAGTCATTTCCGTGGCTTCCTTTTTCACTGGAACAGTAAGCACAACACCTTTTAGATTCTTTAGAAGCCATTTGTCTAGAATGCTGTTCCAGAATTGAGCTGGTTTGTCCTCAAGAGTTTTCAATAAGTTTACAATCTGTAATCTCCTTCCGAGTTGTCCTTTGGCTTTTTTGCAATAGAATCGATTTAATATCTCAGGTAAGACTAGACCGTAAGTGGTTCCCAAAGGGTCTTCTTCTAGGGATTCTAAGATACTTCTTTTATAGTTCAGAATGGTCAATTTCATTTCTTTCATGTCAACACCATTCTTCTTCAACTTTTTTAATGTGTCCATCAAAATCTCATGGTACTCATCAATGGTATCCTGATAGTTTTCTTCGCTTGTCGAGCTTTCTTTTGAGTCTGCCTCGCTATCATCATCTTGAGGCTTCAAGTCAATTCCTGATATAACCAAAACAACTGCAGTTTTAACAAATGCTTTGAGCTCGTAATCAACTTCTGTTGCTAAATTGTCCTCGTTCTCGACAAATGTTTGAAGCAGAAGAGAAGCAGAATTATCAGTAAGATACTTGAGCATAATATCAATTTGCAGTAATTCTTCAACATTGTCAAGTTCAGGCCCTGGAAATGAGAATGCTAGAGTCCCAAATGAATCTTCTTCATCAGACGGAAAGTTTACAATTTTCTTGTGAAACTTCACTTCCTTATCGTATTCTGGTTTACCCAAAATAAAATACTCTGGGCTCTGCTTCATTAAGGTATCATTAGCCGAGAAGGCGCGTGGTACTTTGTTGTAAAACTCCAACCCAGGTTCTAATGAGCTCAGAACCTTTTGAATATCGATACTGTCGCCACACAAGACAATTGAAATATTTTCAGGCTTGTAATAATGAGCATGGAAAGCGCGAATCTCTTCTAACGTTAGCTTCTTTATGAAATCCGTTCTGCCACCGCATTCATAGCCAAGAGACTTCAAGACTTGGTCATTCGAGCCATCATACTCACCATACAATATCTGACGAACAGCCAAGTCCATTAAATCAACTTCAGACATTTCACGAGCACCCATTTCATTCAGCACAACACCAGCGCTTCCAACATCATCGCAAACTTCAGTACGCTTAGCATCATCGGTCAAACTAGGATTTAAAACATGATCCAAGAACACACCAAGAGCGTGGCACATTCCAGAACCAGAAGCAGTCGTCAAAGTGTAAGCTGTGTGGTCTTCACTCGTGTAAGCGTTTGTCCCAGTCGACATGCAGCGCGTAGCCAGTAAATCCAAGAAGCCTCGTTTATAGTGACTGGAACCACAAAATATTAAATGCTCGAGTGTATGCGCTTGGCCAGCATGAGAACAAGATAGCGTCGGTACAACTATATAAGCAGATACCAACGGATTAGACAGAGGAATATAGTGAACACGTAAATTAGATGAGTGCTCATAAGACTCTAAGTTAATTTTAAGGTTACCCACGTCGTGCTCTTCCTTTGAGATTAATTTAAAGCTCGCCATGGTTTTAGGGATATATCTGATTGGGAGCAAGAAGTTTCAAATGCCTGTTTGAGGCCGCAAACCTTTAAAACGCAATAACACCGACAAAATTTTACTAAAGCTTTAATTTAAGTACCGTCTACACTTTTCTGCGCCACAGTGACATGGTATCTTTTCATCCTCAATAGGAAACTTGTAGTCATAAGTTAGCTCTTCACCGGGTAAAATATCACGTTTGGCATAGATGACAATCTTCTTCTCATTCCCAACGGTGATGATCTTTGCTATGCAACTTGGATCACAGGAATGATTGATAAATCTCGCTTGGTTTCCACACTTTGTTGCATCAATTATGGAATTATCGTCAATCTTGAAGAAGTAACTGCTTCCGATTCCCATTCTTTCGTATTTCTTTTCACGAAGATCAGCGACTTGTTGTCGGATCTTTTCTCCAATGTACTCAATCACCATGTCTCTGGCTTCAATACGTTCCAAAGCGTACAGGCCCCAGTCATGTATGGGTGACTTGCCGAACTTCAGCTGCTTCTTTCTGGCTGCCAGTAAATTCAGCTCAACATTTTCATCTTCTTTTTCCTGTTTCAAGTTCCTTTGACATATTCTAACTCTTCTGGAGTAGACTTGGTGCGACATGACATCTTCGTCGTCAGAGGAATCATTGTGATCTTGCAACAATTCTTTGGGATCAGGCTTCGGTTTGAACTTCTGCTCTTCCTTGTCGTAAATTTGTACTCTTGCGCAAGTGAAATGTTCTCTTTCTTCCTGATAGTCACCTTGTGCAGCCAACATTACATACTGCAAGTCTTCGTTCTGTAGGTCATACAGGGCAGCTTCACTTGAATTATCACTCTCTGCAATATCAGAGCATCCCGTAACCGTCAAGTTTCCATGCTGTTTATCAGGCGAGGAGAATGTTATTGTTGTGATCATCCGAAAGTTGAAACAAACAATTGCCGGAAGGTTAGAGTCGAACCGCTTGTTATTAAGCACGAAGCGAGCGATATGATTTGAATGCGCGCCTCTGGATAAAGTTGAACAAAAGATTTATGATTTATTCGGAAGATAGAGACGGAGTTGCAACAAGGGAATGCTCGACTGGGCCGTAATTCGTTGCAGATGGCGGTGTTCCCTTGTGATTAAATAAAATAGCGTGTTGTGATATTTGCTTCTTTGGTAGCATCATAAGATCAAATATCACTGGCGCAGAATCTCCTGCAGCAGAATTCAAATGCAGCTCGACTTTACCGCTTTTCCGTATAACGACATGACCAATTTGACCTTGCTCCCCTGAAAACGGCGGTAGCACGGGAGGTAACTGAAGCAGCATTACTTTGCCTTCTTCTTGCAAAAGATCTGTTAGCCTTTGTGGCACAATTGAAGGATTTAGTGAAAGCTGTGTTGGCTTCAAATGCTCTTCAATTTCTTCCAAAGCCTCATCTGTGCATCCTTCCCCTTGGTGCATCTTTGCCATGAACTCATCATATCTCGCAACGTCAGATTCCTTCATTATAATCTTCTGTGTGCGTACTCCGCCAGCTCCAGAGGCAGATGCGCGCGATACAGATTTGATCTTTGAAGCCCCAATACCACCTGAAAAGATACCGCCAGCTTCCTGTTGCACTGTAGCTTTCCGTGGCTTCCTAACAAACTCCTTCTGCTTCTGCGCGTTCAATAAGCGTTCCTTCTCCTGATCAGCTCGTTTCTGTTCTTCTAATTTCGCTTTGCGTTCTTCTACACTAAGACGCGCAACCCCAGTGGGTTTGAACGCGGGTTTCCTTTGGTTCACGATACTGGGAAGCCTTTGCTGGTTCATATTTGCTGTCTGAAAGCAATCAAGCGAGAGAGCGAGCGAGCGATTGAGCAAAAACCGAAATTGAAAAAAAATTTTCGATTTCCTTTAATCGACTTATAAAATGGTAATACACGCCCTCTCCTTAAGAAATTCAATTATTAACATCTTCAGGTCACGTCCCTAAATAACAAAAAGATCATCAAGAAGCGCACAAAGAAGTTTGTTCGCCACCAGTCTGATCGTTACGTCTCTGTAAAGGAAGCATGGCGCAGACCAAAGGGTATTGACAATCGCGTGCGCCGTCGCTTCAAGGGACAGATTGCAATGCCAAAGATCGGTTACGGCTCAAATGCAAAGACTAGAGATTTGGACCCAGCTGGCTTTAAGAGATTTGTCGTTAGCAACGTTAAAGATTTGGAACTTTTGATGATGCACAACAGAACCTTTGCAGCTGAAGTTGCACACAACGTATCTTCAAGAAAGAGAATCGCAATCGTGGAGAGAGCTCAGCAATTGAATGTTAAAGTGACCAATGCTGGCGCCAGAGTCAAGACGCAGGAAACTCAATAAAAATCTAAATTGCGGACATTGCGTTTCTTGTTTCTTTTGTATGATATTGATAAAGTTTACAGGTGAAGCGCTGGTAAAGTGTTTTGAGGGTATCAATGAAGGTTCACATGTCAGAGTAGCATGGCCAGCTTATATGCCTTTGAAAGTCGATCAATTGTGGGAGCACCGTAATAATCTAAACAATAGCGGAACAGGATTAGAACAAATGAACAATGAGATCTTTACAAAAAGCTCCAAGGCAGATACAGACCTCTGCTTTCGGTTTCAGTTCGACGGTATACTGGCAAAGGGTTACAAAGTTCCTTCAGGTTTCATAAGTGTTACAATTGATAAAACAGGCTATCCTACTGATGTTTTATATCTTGTATTCTGGATTACTTTTATTTCAATTCTGTTTCAGGGCTTCTTCAAAAGCAAGATAATTCACTCTGTGAGAAATTGTTGCTCAGCAGTAACTCGCGAGGTTGAAGTTGAATCGGAAGGTGATCACGGAACTTTAGACCAAAAAAATAAATAAATAGGAATATGTTGCTACCAGAACATAAAGTTGTTCATCTTTATGAAATCTTGAAAGACACCAAAGAATCAGAAGCGATTTTAGCAAAAAAGTGACCCCAGAGAGACTTGAACTCCCGACCTCTGGATGTTTCCAAACGTAATTGGAATCCAACGATCTGCCAATTGATCTATGGGGCCATCAGACGTTCATATGAATTTTCCTTCCGGACAAAATCATACGGAATTTTGCGTAAATCGTCTCAGCGCTTCAATGCTCAATTAGAATGCCTTCTACCGCTTTGTAACAAAATTTTGATGCCATGCCTGCGCATTATTGAAAATCTGAACACGCTTTGGGTTCCTAACCACACTTTGCGCAATCATGAGCTTGTAAAGCATATCACCCAACGCACATCAGCGTACACCATTAAATAGAAACACACTAAAAATAAAATCTTCTTGTTGCATGCGTTGGCACCGTTAAAGACAAATTTTTGGCTGAAACAACTTTTCTCAAGATTATTGATGACGTTCACTGTTGCGATCGTTGGCGCTGGTTTAGTTGGGCCGCTATTGGCAATTTTACTCGTGAAAAGGGGTGCGAATGTTTTGCTATTCGAGAAGAGGTCTGACCTGAGAAAAGAACCGACCTTGAAGGGTCGTTCCATTAATCTTGCGCTTTCTGTGCGTGGCATGGCTGCTTTGGAAGAAGCTGGTGTTTTGGATATTGTAAAGTCTGAGTTGATTATTCCAATGGCTGGTCGCATGCTGCATCTTGCAAACGGTAAAGAAGAATTTGTTCCTTATGGCGATTTTGGTGAGGCAATTAATTCCGTTGATCGCAGGAAGTTGAACGAGATTCTGTTGGATGAGGCTGAGAAGTACGGCGATCAAGTTAAAATGTTCTTTGAACACGAATTGCTTTCATTTGAAGATGGAGACGCTCCTGGTAAAGGTGTCAAGTTGTCCTTTAAGTCCAGTAGAAGCGATGGTAATGAGTCTTCTGTGGTAACCTTCGATTGCGACTTGGTTGTGGGAGCAGATGGCGCATACTCGAGTGTTCGCAGGGAACTAATGAAAAAGACCCGTTTCAACTACCAGCAAGATTACATTGACTGCGGCTATATGGAGCTGACTATTCCTGCGACTGAGAATGGCGAATATGCGATGCATTCAAACAGTCTTCATATTTGGCCTCGTAAGTCACACATGATGATTGCCCTGCCAAATAAGGACAAATCTTTCACTACGACACTGTTTCTTCCGTTCCATGTCTTCGAGTCGATTAAAACACCACAGGATTTGCATCAATTCTTTCTGGAGAACTTTCCTGACTCTCTGCAGTACTTGCCGAACCTTGATAAGGAATTCTTTTCAAATCCTGTTGGTCCATTGGTTACTGTGAAATGCAAACCGTACAACTACAAAGATAAAGCTGTTATTATTGGTGATGCTTCCCATGCGATGGTTCCATTTTACGGACAGGGAATGAATTGTGGGTTTGAAGATTGTTTGGTTCTGACGGAAGTATTGTATCCAAAAACTGTTGGTAGCCTTCCTTTGCGCTCTTCGCCTTCTCAGGGGAAACAGCAAGATCTTATTGTTTTGCCGTTAGAACAAAGACTTGATATTTACACTGAGTTCAGACATCCGGACGCGACAGCTGTTTGTGATTTAGCATTATACAATTACTATGAAATGAGACACGGAGTTATCACTTTGTCCTATCGTGCCAGGAAGACTGTTGAATCGATTTTACACAGAATACTCCCTCAAACGGTGATACCTTTATACACAATGGTATCATTTTCACAAATAAGATACTCTGATGTTATCAAGAGATGGAAGAGACAAGGAGATCTGTTAAATGCTGGTTTATTCCTTACAGCTGCTACAGTGGCAACATTAGGAGTATTTAACGTTCTCAAGAAGCTTAAAAATTAAAGGAATGAAGTTGAAACGTCGTCTAGCATTCTCTTTTCTGATCTTTTTCATCACATCTTCTTCTTGACGCAATTGTTCCTGAATGTGCTGCTTTTCAAAGTCACTTAGATTTGGAGTTAGTAATCTCTTTTGTAATTCTACACGCGGGTCGGTAACAACAGCCATCAAATTGAACCTGATTTCTTGCTTTCCCTGATTTGACGCATTAACATAAGACTGAATCCTGCGCTCAATGACAGGCTTAACACTATCCAACCAGTTACCCTGATACTTCCCATGACTCAATGCAGTCTCTTGCAAACCGTCTAGCTCCAGTAATTCTCCTTGAAAGGGAATATACGAAACGAAATGAAAAACATCTTCATCGCCGCTGTTGTTGTTTGAGTGCTGCCCTTCTGGATCGAATATGAACGCATCCTGTCTTGCAAAGGAATTATGGGACGCACGAAGTGTATCGGAATTAGAAATAGCCAAACCCTTCATTTGAGCATCAAATTCCTGAGTAAATTCTTTAAATTCCTTCAAAGTAGAACCCAACTGATCCTTAGGAACATTATTCAACAGAATATGCAACAGGGCCATCGTAGCGCAGGCATTTGTAATGATCTGATTAGCAAAGAACAACTGAGCATTATCATAAGGTGAACCTTCTCTAGCGATGCCTTTTGTGTACTTGAACAGGAAGATTAAACCATAAACATCCTTCTGTCCCATCTGCTGTAAATCCTCCAATGTGTACAACTCCTTAACCCTCAGCCCATTAACCCCAAACATTTCAATCAGCTCTGTCCCTACGGCAGGATCGCTCTCAATGAGACACCAATTTCCGTTTGAGTTTGAACCAGCAGCAGCACCAGTAGACATCTTATTATTAAAAAACTTGAATTTTTTTATTTTTTCACAGATGTTACAACTCCAGACGCAACCCTTCGCCTGAACCAACATAACCAGAATCTACAATTTTAACTTCAGCCTTTGGCTTATCTCTGTAATCTGTTGCAGACTTTTCAATTTTCTTGACGATATCCATGCCCTCCAATACACTTCCAAAAACAACGTGTCTCCCATCCAACCACGAAGTCACAACGGTCGTAATGAAGAACTGCGATCCATTTGTGTCTGGACCAGCATTAGCCATTGACAGAAGCCCAGGGCGATCATGCTTCAATTGGAAGTTCTCATCTGCAAACTTTTCACCGTAAATGCTCTTACCACCGGTACCATCAAAGTTTGTAAAGTCACCACCCTGTAACATGAAATCCTTAATGACCCTGTGGAATATGGACCCCTTGTAACCGTAGCCATTCTCATGAGTGCACAACTGTTTAAAGTTCTCTGCTGTCTTTGGGACAACTTCACCAAACAAACCAAAGACAATTCTGCCAGCTGCTTTACCTCCAATTGCTATGTCAAAGTAAACCTTGTCAGTAATAACAGGACCCTGAGCATTTTTACTTAAAACAAGAGACGAAAAGAGCGCGAATAAGGATAATGCGAGTAATGTTAATTTCATTATTTAAAATGCGACAGAAGTTCTTAGGGAAAGGTAGAAAGCTTAAATTTGGCTTTTGGGCAAAACTTGTCGCCGCAAATCGCTGCGCAATCGATCAGAACCGCCACACACAAAAAAACGGAACAGACGGCCGGTCAATCGTTTCGCTTCAGACAGACGGACGGAAGAGTAGTACGGAAGGACACTCTTGAAAAAACCTATTCGCTTACTTGCCTACCTACTTACCGACTTTTCTGGAATTAAAAAATTATAACATGGTTCAGACGGAAGCATACGTAACGCTACTGACGAGGTAATCCTCTTTGTGCTTTTACAATTAACTTGTTTTAATACTTTAGCGATGATTATGGCGTTGGTGCATTGGTTCTTGCGCATTCATTACGGGACACTAAAACTGAACGCAAATTAGTCTGTTTAGTAACACAAAGAGTATCTCCATTGACACAAGGAAGGCTGAAAGGTAATCAGTTGCGGAAGGATGATATTCTTACTTGTGCGTCTGTGTGCGTTTTGTGTGTGTAGACGTTTTTGATGAAGTTATTACTGTTGAGCCGCTCAAGTCGTCTTCGAAGCAGAACTTGGATTTACTTGGTCGCCCTGATTTGTACTGGACATTTACGAAACTTCACTTGTGGTCATTAACACAGTACTCCAAAGTTGTTTTTCTGGATGCTGATACGCTGGTACTGAAGAATGTTGATGATTTGTTTGAGCAGATTAGTTCCTCTGGTGCAGAAGGCCACGAGGAGTTTGCTGCATGTCCTGATATTGGCTGGCCTGATTGTTTCAATTCTGGCGTGTTTGTTACGAAGCCCTCTCAGGAAACATTCTACAAGTTGTTGGCGTTTGGTGAAACAGAGGGCTCATTTGATGGTGGTGACCAGGGATTGTTGAATGACTACTTTAATGGTAGGTGGAAGAGGCTCTCCTTCTTGTACAATGTTACACCTTCTGCTTCCTACACTTATGCCCCTGCTTACAAGAGATTTGGCTCTGATATAAAAATTGTTCACTTTATCGGCGCTGATAAGCCTTGGAGATGGGAGAGATACTCAAATGGTGGTGTTGCTCCAAAAGGCAGGAACTCTGATGTTGTTCCTCTTGTTCAGAGATGGTGGGATGTTTACGATGAGAAGATTGGAAAGTTTGCAACGGATTTGAATGCATTGTCTTATGGTCAAAGTCATGGTCCAGCTGGGGGTTACTACGGAAATATCCACGGATCATCTGGTCATGGTTCAAACCAAGGCGGTTCCTCTCAACATGGTGAAGGATTCAATCCATTCTTCAAGAGTCGATATGACTGGAATGAACATGAATTGAAACTGCCTGCTTCAAAGCCTGGAGTCCACGCTCCGTCAAGTGCTGATTCTGAGGATGAGCACAAGATTCCATTGAAGAAGAGTGCTGTTGCAGTTAAACCTGCTGCTCATGCTGCATCCAACATTGGCTCGAAAGCTGCGCCGAAGAAGAAGTGAAATTGATAATAAACTTTGTGGGAGATTTATCTTTTGGTTTTTCTTGTTTGAACTTTGAAGATGGATCCATTTTTATGGCTGTTAACTCTGTGCGTTGCCATGTTTATTGGTTCATTCCTGGCTGGTAATTTACCGCTAATGTTCGTCATGCAGCCAGATACTATGAAAATGGTCTCAGCGTATGGGGCTGGTCTGTTGGTTGGAACTGCCTTGATCGTTGTGATTCCGGAAGGTATAGAAACAGTTTATAGCGCACACAAGGA